AAAAAATTTTTAAACCAATTGATTAAATTTTCATTAAACCTAATGAGTTTTCCCTCAACGAGAGAAAAGGCCAAATAAACACCCGGTAATTAAAATTAACATGGGCTGATTGATGGGCACACGAGGCTGGAAGGTATAGCTAAAGCCCACACAAAGCAAAATTATGAGGTACTAGATAGTTTTAGGGTGTCGTCTCCCGGAGAGGTATCAAAGGAATATATTTTTTATTACTGTTGAACTGGGATTTTCAATTCCACTGGTTAATGGGCATTTTTTTTTGTTTATTTTATTTTCATGGACAGGCTAGGGCTACTTCACTCCAGAGCTGTGTTATGGTTATTCGTATTATGCGAGATCTTTGCAATCGTGTACCTACGTGGGCACCTCTCAATGCCTGGGTAAGATTTTTTACCAACTCCACGAATAATTCCTCTTTTTTTATTATTTTTGTGTGAATTTGGATGATGAATCTGATGACGAGACTGAGTTTGTCCTGAAAATCCCTCGTACAATGTTGACACCGAGTCTTTCGGGGTTGACGATTGTCGTTGGTACTATCGGGACATGCCCTAGATGATCTGGCAGACTGATAAATTATCTAAAACCCAGCACTTGGATTTTAATAATCGAATTAATTATTAATGAGATTTAATTGTCCTCCAGGCGCTTGAGCTGTTGACTGAGAAAGTAATTAGCACTGCGGGATGCCCCCTGTGCCTCGGGGAAGCACTGAGACGTCTCCTGGAGTGCGTTGCAGGAGGGATTCTCCTTCCTGGAGGTCCAGGTAATGAATTCCAAAAAAAAACTCATCATCCCTTCAAAAAATCCATGAGCTTCTCAAGTTAATGATGAAACTGATGACGAGACTGAGTGTGTCCCAACAGTCTGTCCTTCAACGTTGAAGCCAAGTGTTTTGGGGTCAGCGATTGAGGATTGACCCATTGGGACACAACGCAGATGATTTTGGCAGTCTGATAAAAATTTCCTCGAATCTCTGGGGAAAATAGAATTAATTGAATGCGGTAGATGGGGAATGGAGCTGGTGCTAGTGGAAGTTTTTAATTTTTAGGACTGGCTGATCCCTGTGAGAAGGAGCCTGTGGATGCCATTGGTGGAATGACAGCTCAGCAACGAGAGGACATAACGGCATCAGCTCAGCATGCCCTCCGTTTAGTCGCGTTTAGACAGATTCATAAGGTTTTGGGAATGGAGCAGCTGCCACCACCAAAACACAAAGCTCGTTTCACACGAAAACGCAGACGTGACAACAGCAATGGCGAGGGGACAGACAGTGAGGCATCGAAGAAGGATAAAAAAGCTGAGGAGACTAAGGCAGAGATCAAGATGGAGACGGACTCCAAGTAAATATTAATGTGAAGATAATATTTGAATACTTGTAGGCGTGTCGAGCATCAATAATTCATGGAAAATCATACATTGATTGTCACCAAAACCATTATTTATATTATCGGGGAGATAACAATTGTGAATCAATTAAAATAGGTTATTAAGGACTATTTCGGTGGAAATTTTATGATTATTCCATCAGGGAGTTGTGGGGGAATGAGTGAGTGGGGGGAAATTAGAGATAAGGAGACGTCAACGAAAGTGAAATGATTATCGAATTTATTCATTAGAGAAATCAGGTTTTCAAGTAAATTCTATTTCATTTAGTAATTCGTACCATTTGTTCTCTTACGTTAGCTTTTGTCGATAACTTTTTAGTTTATTTGGGAGTGAAGTAAAAAAAGTGGAAAACTTAAATTGGCACTTGGAAAACTTGCGTTTATCTAAGAAATTAGGGGCTCGGGAGAAAATTGTCATAGGAAAAAATTGTGGAGGATTGAATTTCAGACGTAACTTTCCTCTGCTGTTTTTCTCTAGGAGAATTTGTTGACGAGATAATTGAAAAGTTTATGTGCTGCGAGTTTTCATTTTTTTCTAAGGGTTTTTCAAGTTTGCTACTGAATTTCGAAGATAACTCGAGGCCGGGCGGTTTTACACGAAAATGTCAAAACAATTTTACGTGGGGAATTAATTTTTCCATAGATAATGTTTGTTGACTTTTTTCTCTAAGGCTGATCGTTACCGAGATTATTCGGTTATTATAGACACGTCATGTCACGATTGAATTTCCCTTGGCCTTCCCCAGCAATATGACAATTAAATTTTTTATTCTCAATGAATATTCAATGAATAGAAGTCAATGATGTGTGAACGCGACTTATTACTGATTGATTGAACTCGAGAGATTCGGGAAATAAAATAGTTAGAATTTAATTTTTACGAATTAAGATTGTAGGGTAGTTTGTATTTCGCGACTCGATGTGTATGTTGTGTGTGTAGTCGTAATGGAACATATGGAGTGAAGAAATATGAGGATATATTAGCATTTGTGAGCTGCTGACAATTTTTCTGTGTCATTTTCCCTCCCCTCTCCACCGAGACATTACGAAATTATGAATGTAATTATCCACTGACCATTTTTCGCTAATTCATTTATTTCAGTAGAACATCATTTTGCAGATCATTGATTTAATCCACTGACCTTTATAGCACTGCTGATGTACTCTGAATATTATCAAAATTATCAATAAACCAAATCTCAACTGAATCGACGTTTTGCGTTTTTATTATCCACATATTACGACTCGTCATTTTTATCGATTCAACAGGGAATAATTCCTAGTCATTACACTAGCCAATTGATGTCTCATCATGATTCATGAATTTCTAGACGAGTCTAGAATGACAAATGATAAGTAATTTCCTCATTCAAGCTTCAGGTACTGATAATTATTCGCAACAAGAAAAATAATAAATTGCCTGGGACGTCGGGGAGAGGATTCACGAGAAAAATTATAAAAAGCTTTTTTGTAGGAAATTTTCTCAACTCCAAAAAAAATCTTTTGTCATTTCCTCGTAGAGCCACTCCCCTCCGAGATATCGCGAAAAACTGCGGAGTAGTTTTTCCAACGCTTTCCCATGACTCGGCATATTTTCCGGGGAAAAATGACTGATAGACAATAATAATTGGAATTTCCACGAACCCTCCGAAAATAATCATAAAGCGTCTTTTGTTCCTGCAATATGTAACTCCACAGAATATACGAGAACATTTTAATCAACCAATCGCCAGTTGCTGCGTCAGCTGTGGCGTCAGACATTTGCGCGCGCAGTTGCCAAGCAGTTGGTCAGCTGTTACCGTCGACCAATCACCGGCCGTATAACCTCCGCCCCCTGATTTCCCTGATCCGAGGGTATAAAAACCCATTTCACAAGGAAATCTGCAAGCAGTGTAAAGTGAAACTTCACACCGTAAATTTCAAGTGTTTTTTTTTCTTAAAAAGCCCTCAGAGGAGATCAATAAATTGTCTGCGCATTTTGTGAACAAAGAGGTGAGCCCCAATCTTCGGTTATTAATTACTGGATTAATTATCCATACATCCTCGGTTTGTTAATATCCGAGAATTTCGTTCTGTCATTTTTCCCGTTTCGACTTGTAATGGCTGCCATTTACAACGAAATTGGAAAATTATTTTTTTTTCGGAGTCAGAGGATTTCTTCGTGGTTCACGGGTTGAATTAATCTGGAGGACTGTAATGGCTTTTTTTAATTGGGTTTTATGGTGTCCTGGGGTAATTAGTGAGGGAAAATCCTGGGAAATTGCGTCAGAAAGATCTTGAGGCTTCGGAATGGCCTCGAATTGTTCACGTCATGGCGGACGTTTGGTGGACGCTTTGTTCAATGTTGAATCATTATTTATTTTTAATTCGTAGTCATCGCCCGATAGTTTTGGAGATTTTATTCCTTTTGTCATTAATTTTTACGTGACTTTATTTTTTCCTTTGCGCAGGATAATTGGTATTTTATGTTTTAATTATGTGGTGCGTTGGGAGGGGTAATTAATGGTGATTTATGAGTTTTTGTCGAACCGTATCGATTTTGGTGGGGAGGAAAATGGTGAGACTGAGGGGGAAGCGAGAAAATGGAGGATAGGGCGTGGCCTTCGCAGCGGGGATTGACCCCATTACGATTTTTTTTTCTGCTGCTGAGGGATTTCAAGAAATTTAATTAATATAATTTATAATCTATTGATTGCATCTTTGTTTTTTGTTGGGAGTGGTGATTATATTTTTTTTTTTTGTTTGTGTTTCAGGAAAAATGCAGATATTCGTGAAAACACTGACGGGCAAGACCATCACCCTAGAGGTTGAGGCTTCGGATACTATTGAGAACGTCAAGGCTAAAATCCAGGACAAGGAGGGAATTCCCCCAGACCAGCAGAGATTGATCTTCGCTGGAAAACAGCTGGAGGACGGACGCACTCTTTCTGATTATAATATCCAGAAGGAGTCTACCCTTCATTTGGTCCTTCGACTTCGTGGAGGCATGCAGATCTTCGTCAAGACCCTCACAGGGAAAACCATTACCCTTGAGGTCGAGGCGTCAGACACCATCGAAAATGTCAAGGCTAAAATCCAGGACAAGGAGGGAATTCCCCCAGACCAGCAGAGATTGATCTTCGCTGGAAAGCAATTGGAAGATGGTCGCACACTCTCTGATTACAACATCCAGAAGGAGTCGACTCTTCATTTGGTCCTTCGACTTCGTGGAGGCATGCAGATCTTCGTCAAGACTCTCACAGGGAAAACCATTACCCTTGAGGTCGAGGCGTCAGACACTATTGAGAACGTCAAGGCTAAAATCCAGGACAAGGAGGGAATTCCCCCAGACCAGCAGAGATTGATTTTCGCTGGAAAACAGCTGGAGGACGGACGCACTCTTTCTGATTACAATATCCAGAAGGAGTCTACCCTTCATTTGGTCCTTCGACTTCGTGGAGGCATGCAGATCTTCGTCAAGACCCTCACAGGGAAAACCATCACCCTTGAGGTCGAGGCGTCAGACACCATCGAAAATGTCAAGGCTAAAATCCAGGACAAAGAGGGAATTCCCCCAGACCAGCAGAGATTGATCTTCGCTGGAAAACAGCTGGAGGACGGACGCACTCTTTCTGATTACAACATCCAGAAGGAGTCTACCCTCCACTTGGTCCTTCGACTTCGTGGAGGCATGCAGATCTTCGTCAAGACTCTCACAGGGAAAACCATCACCCTTGAGGTCGAGGCTTCAGACACCATCGAAAACGTCAAGGCTAAAATCCAGGACAAGGAGGGGATTCCCCCAGACCAGCAGAGATTGATCTTCGCTGGAAAACAGCTGGAGGACGGACGCACACTCTCTGATTACAACATCCAGAAGGAATCCACTCTTCACTTAGTCCTCCGTCTCCGTGG